GGACTCGTGAACATTAACATCAGCCAATGTGAGAAAGGCCTTTAGTTGCTTAGAGGTTACCCTGAGGTCATTTGCGACCACACGGACAAATACACGTCTTGCTTTTAGAGTGATTTTTGATGGTGGACCACTCCTGGGGAGGGTAACAGTGGTCTTGAATTTCCTACATTTGTACACAATCTGTCTGACCGTGGATTGGTGGAGTCTAAACTCTTTAGAGATGGTTTTGTAACCTTTTCCAGCCTGATGAGCAACACCAACTCTTTTCCTGAGGTCCTCGGAGATCTCCTTTGTTCGTGCCATGATTCACTTCCACAAACATGGTCAGACTTTGATAAATCCCTGTAGGGTTGGGCGATGTCTACAGTGAAACATCGCGATGGACGATGACATCGGCGGGGGCGAGGGGTGTGGGGGTGGAGTTAGGGGGTGTGCCCGAAGCGTGAATCCTTATAAGGGAAAACACGATTCCTAACACCGTGTCTACACCGGACGCGACGCGACAAAATACTATAGAACCACTCATCTATTATAGAGATTTATTATAGATCAGTCTACAGAACTCATTATATCAGTGATGCTGTCTACACTGGATGCGGCACGGCACGACATGACAAATCCCCGACAGTAAACTGCTGCCGCGTTCTATTTATGACGTGCTGAACTGATGGAATGATTTGCAGATCCTCAGTACCACTGACAAATATATAATCTTGTAAAATGTGTGGTAAGTAGCTACTGCCACTCCATAGTATAAACAGAGTACGTGCGATCGCGAATCTCGAAAGTGAAAGTGAAACTAAAAAGCACGATGCAAGTTTCAATGCCAGGTATAATAGCGGCTCCCTGATGCTGAAATATATATGTAGTATAATTACCCAATGATATAACTGCGAGTTTTGCCACACACAGATATGTAATATTAGATAATTTCCCTGAATAAATAAGTGACAACATATATATTTTCATATCTTTTGTTTAATTGGGTTTTCTTTGTCAACTTTCAGGACTTGTGCAAAAATCTGATGATCTTTTGGGTTATATTTTTGCAGAAATATAGAAAATTGTAAAGGGTTCACAAACTTTCAAGCAGCACTGTACATGTATGTCTGTAACTTCATGGGCTAATCATGAAACCTCACAAAGTTATTACTGTTATTACTTTATTTTTGATCAAATAAATGCAGCCTTGTTGAGCACAATTGATTTTATTGACATATTAAATATTGAAATATTATTGTATTCTAAGGTGCATGTGACAGGTTTCGCGCTAAATCTATGAAACGCTATCCAGGTCAGCGGCAAGACGCTTCACAACCAGCACGCCACAATTTACAACTAGAGTTTAGTACATACACACATACATTAACAATGATGGTGTAGGGAGTAGGGAAAGTTGTAAGTCCACTTGGCATAGGGAGATGGACTGGCTGAGGTCCCTGCCAGAGGAAGAGTGGAGTTAAAAGAGCAGGATGGAGGTGAGAAAGAAGGTAAAAGTGTATTACAGAGCAAAAAGGGGTGTGTATAATGAGACTCGCTTAATGTTTAACCAGGGTGGAGAGGCACCATAAATGTTGGACAGGCTCAGCAGGAGAGGGGTGTCATTAAACCTCTCTCTCGCTCTCTCTTCGCCATTCGGTTCCTCTGAGTGGCCCACGCTTTTCATTCATTTGCTAATGTGGTGTACGTGGATTTCTTTATATGCTAAAGATGTCCTTTTAACCTGTAGGGCTTCAGGCAAAAAAACACAGATCAGAGTTTAAATCCAGATGAATTTCAGGAAACCACACATCCAAATTCTTGTTCACTGTCATACGTTCCACTACGAACCACTTCCCAAGACATATAAAGAGTTCACAGCACTGAAAATTAGTCTGTCTGTTTCACATAATATCTAATAAAGCTTAATCGGGGGGTTTGAGTGGGTTAGGAAGACTGAGAAAGGCATATATGGCGTGTGAGCGGGACCTCTGGCGGGATGAGGAGCAGGATGAATCATCCGGGCAGGAGATGCCGTGATGGGTTCGTTCCGTGGCTCACTTCCGTTCCTGTGTCCCATGAGATGGGGTTGAGTAAGCGGGAGGAAATGCCGCTGCTCTACCAACCACGGGCCTCTGGAGCAGATGTTCGTCTGTGTGCTTTTTTTTTTTTCTATGCTTCTACCCTGAGGGGACTTTTAGGGACAGGCAGGATTAGCCAAACAAAACAAACTTCATTTACTTTTTTTAATTTTCCGAGTGGCCTGAAAGACCACCACTTTAACTTTTTATATTGAATTTCAAGGTATCATGCAATCCATTTTTATGTTTATGTAACAGTTTGTCAAAGTTACAGTGTGTTGCTGGGAAACTAAGTCTAAAAAGTGAAAACATAAGGGGAAAAAAACAAATGTAGCGTTATGGAAAATCGGTTTATTTTGCCCATATCGCTCCAACAAAAACAACAACAAAACATTAAACCTCAATTTAAACCTGCATAGCGTACGATTTTGGCTCATTGTAGAGGGTGTGGGGGAAATACCATCTCAAAGCTCTGTGGTTCAACCGTTATACATTAACAGCACTGAGTCTGTGCCAGAAACTCCTGCCAGTTTGTGTTTCTTTCCCAGGATGCCCTGCTCCTCACCCCAACAGCTGCAGTGGGCGGTTAGTGCAGTGGGCCTGGTGTCATAACATCTTCAAGGCACAGCGTGAATGTCAAAAACAAAAAGAAAGAAAGTTCTGTGTCTCCTAAGAAACATGGAAGAGTGAAGCAAGGGATGTTCGTCGCTCTAAAATAGGAAAGAGGGGGAAGCGCAAGAGCGTGCAGGACAAACAGAAGTGCTCTTTCAGTTCGCCCACTGTCTGTTTGTCCAGCTCACACTGGTGCCTTTTTTAAAAAATAGGTGCATGATGACCCTGGGGAAGAGGGGGATGCATTGACCTATTAACCTCCTATATTCTACCCCCATTACCCTGACACACATGCACACAGAAATCCTTCACAGAGCCATAAATGGGTTAATGGCATAAGACTTCGGCAAGGAAATATGGGGATTATTGATCTCAGGGCGATTAGTCCATAGAGGATGGATGGAGTGGGGATAAAGGGAGTAGGGAGAGATAAGAGGTCAGTCCATAAGAGACTGGCGCAAAAGGTCCCTTAGGCTGTTTCTTATTGATTGGCCCAGTGCATTTGTGTGTAACACGGTTTCACAATATGTGACTGATTAGAAAACCAGAGGGTGTCTTGTAAAGCGTGTGTGTGTATATGTCCAGACATGTCAATATGTCTTTATACCCGCCTACCCCCTGATATGAACTGTAGAAAGTACACTTGAGGTAAGCCAGCATTACATGTGGGTGTTGGGTCATAATGGGGTGTGGAATACTTTCAGTTGTAGGCGATTAGCCATCCCAAGAAGTACACAGGGTCTACTGAGTGTGAGATGGAAAGATTTCTGCTTTAATTCAGAAATGCTCAAAACTGCCTTTGTGTGAGTGTGAGAAAGTCTCGCTGGCAGTTGAAAAACTAATTTAGTGTACAAAAGGGGATCAATACCAGAGATTTTACTGACAGAGGAGCCATTATTAAATATTTGATCATGCGGATGTGTTCAATTGCACAGAGGAGTAAAATAGATGGGGAACCTGAGTGCTGGCTCAGCTGAATGTCCTTCACTGTTCATTACATTTCACAGGAACCCTTCATCTCGGTTCTTCACTATGATTTGTGCCTTCCTTTTTTAACGCACATGGGCTTATCATGAAACACCTCAACAATAAGATCTTGTGCGTGACAACAGTGGAATACTTTTGGATGCATAGTTGCCTTACAGACAAAGGACAATTACATATTTTACAACTACATATTTTGACATTTATGGTGTCCCTCTAACAGGGTTGCTAGAATTTAAAAGCTCTCAAAACCATATACGTAGTGAGCATATGTATTAATGGCTCACAAATGATACCTTGGGAGCATTGGTATCTTAGCATGCAAACCCAGAGCGCTTCTCTTTGATTCTCAAAATATGACCAGAAAAACTAGTTTTGCTAGAATAACCTTGGTGTTCTTATCACACACTATTTCCAACACTTAAAACTGAGAAATCAATACAATCCATTTGCACACGTCAGTGCTTCAAAACTATGTCTGTATATGTCTATAATGTATGAATATTAAAAAATCGATTCACTTTTGAGCATTACAGTATACACATGTAGAGTGTTTGAGAATCACTGTGATTATGGTATTATATAGTTACTAGTATCTAATCCAGTAGTGGCAACTAGTATCCTTTCCGATTTCACTAGTAATAACTACTTATTTAAATATTGGTGCTTATTCATTACATACTAGTACTTATACCAATAGTGACTAATAGCTATTTAATAATAAACTAGCAATTATTCTTTACATAAACACTGGTTCCTTTACTACTAATAATTAGTTTTATTAGTTCTGAATAAATAGACAATAATATATATATATATATGACAAACAAAACAACCATTGAGTGAGACAAGTAATGTAGCTAGTGACACTTAGGATAGATACTAGTGTCTAGATAAATATGTACATGTATCTAGTAAATAAGTACCAAGCAGGACTAGTTACTAGTAAACACCCAACAAAAAGTACTTCTTCCAAATGAAAAGGTACTAGTAAACAGGAATAGGTATCTGCAACAACTAACGTTAGCAAAAGATGCTAGTTGGAAGTGAATAGCTGAGATCTGAACCACACATCACCATACAATTCAATGGGGGAAAATGCCAATATGTTACTTGATTTTACTTCAAAACAATAAAAGTTACTTATGTATGGGATCATGACTAGTGAAATAGTAACAAGTATATAAAAAATTAAAAAAAGTATACAAAAATATTGTTACGTTTTCAAAAAAGTAAAAGTTAGCTAGAAATGAGCCATACTGGATATAATACTGTGCTGTCTAGGTAACGTTAGTCAGCTAGCTTCCTATGTTTTGCGACACAGCTTTAGTGTTGTCTACATACCCGTCCCGTGTGTGTGTGCTCGTCCGGATTGCGTAACTCAAAAGACTCTTCCTCCTCTTTCTCCCCATGATCCCGAGCCAGCAAACTGAAGCCTTGTCTGCAGCACACAAGCCAGCCAAGTCCCTGCAAAGGCATTCAAATCACGGCGTGTCGTCCAGTTTCTATCCGTAAAAGTCCAGTGATGTTCACCGTCCTGTCGTGCAAATGGGACAGATGGAGACTGTCTAGTCGCAGGAAACGAGCTGATCCGAGTGAATAAACTCCTCGATTTCGGTTGGGACAACTGACAATACCGCGTTCTGTCACGCGGGATATATCCAAATACGCGTCCAACGTAAGAGAAAAACTGATATGATAAAATGCTTTTTTTTATCCCACGGCTACTTTCAAAAGGAGAGTTGATAAAACAACGCTTCTTATCGGCTTCTGTCGCGTCTCTGATTCTGCGGGACATGAGCGTGCAAGACTCTTTGAGAAGCGTGAGTGGAGGGGCGGAGCGAATCACCCCATGCGTTAGGATTCGCAAGATGATTGGCTCACCACGCACACGCCCAGAACACGCCCCGCCCACTGTCTGGCTCGCTGCACATGGGAAGTAGGCATTTCAGGAAATGGAAGCGATTCAGTGATTGGATCAGAAATGTTTGAGTCTCGTTGTAAAGCAAACAACTAAGTGACCCTGGACCACAAAAGCAGTCATAAGGGTCAATTTCTTGAAACTGAAACATTTATACATCATCTGAAAGCTGAATAAATGGTTTGTTGGGATAGGACAATATTTGGCCGAGATACAACTATTTGAACATCTGAAATCTGAGGGTGAACAAATATCAAAATATTGAGCAAATCGCCTTTAAAGTTGTCCAAATGAAGTTCTTAGCAATGCATATTACTAATCAAAAATTAAGTTTTGATATACTGACGGTAGGAAATTTACAAAATATCTTCATGGAACATGATCTTTACTTAATATCCTAATGATTTTTGGCATAAAAGAAAAATAGATAATTTTGACCCATACAATGTATTGTTGGCTATTGCTACAAATATACCCGTGCTACTTATGATTGGTTTTGTGCTCCAAATCCCTGTCATTTAAACTTAAAATGTAGACCATAAACAAGCGAATTATACTTTTTTATGAACCTGCCTGCACTCTTTGCTCTGTTTACTTAGTGATTACTACACATAAGAGCTATTTTCTAGGTTTTACCCAAATCTGTCCTTGTCCAAAATAAGATGTCATCACAGAAAGGCTATCTACTGTGAAGTGAAATTCGCCTTCTATTATTTGGATAGTGCTGGGACGTGGAGACTGTGCAGTTGTATTATCAAGTTAGTGTGAAGTTCTGGGTAAAGGGGTGAATGAGCACTCTGTGTTTTGTGTGTGTGTGTGTGTGTGTGTGTGTGTTGGGGGGTAATGTAGTCTCCTGAAACACATTATGTGCCTGAATGGAAAGCAGATGGACTCCTTTATTCCAGGAAACTCCTGTCACGAGAGGCTCTGAAGAGAGGGAGACAGACAGAGAATGAGGGGAGAGGGTAGAGCACCAGAAAGACTTTTTTGTGTGACTTCCAAAAGGTCTGATGATCCCTCTTCCTCTTTATTGTCTTGTGCAATGTCTGTTTTCTACATTTTTTCTGTCATTTATTATATTTTTATGGCTTAGAAAGCAAATGACTCCTTGTGGACACCAAACAAACATCACTCATTTTCATTTAGTTTTATTGTACCTATCTTCCAGGAAATAACTGGTCAGATCAGAACTGTTAGTATGAATCAATTAAATCAGTCTGAAAACTGAATTTAAATAGTTGAGAGATTAATAAAAAAAAAGATCAAAAGAAAGATCAATAAAAGTAACCATAAGTTGTGTTATAGTTCATAAAAAGGTTTCCTGTCCCTGCTGAACTACACTGATTTTAGCTGGTATAAGATGGTCTGCCAGTGTGCAGCCAGGGCCAGACTGGGAAACAAACTTAGGTTTAAGTATTTTTTTTCCAGCAGGGGAATACTTGCTGTCAGCCATTGGGCTAACAAAAAGTCCCTTTTTGTTCCTTGTTCCTTGTTCCCTTGAAGTCCCTTCCCCAAATCAGCCATTGGTTGTGCCATTGCTAGCAATATTTTTGAAAGAAGACTCTCTTTTTTTTTTTTTTTTTTTGCTCATTAGCTGCATTTATTTGATCAAGAATACAGTAAAACAGTATTGTGAAATATTACTAGTACCATTTCTAGCTTTTTGAAAGAAGACTCTCTTTTTTTTTTTTTTTTTTTGCTCATGAAGGCTGCATTTATTTGATCAAGAATACAGTAAAACAGTATTGTGAAATATTACTAGTACAGAACCCAGCTCACTCACTTACTCACTCATGTACACCCATAAATCACGCTTTCAAAAAGCACACCAAACACACTCTCTCGCGCGCACGTTCACGCAGATGACACTGATATTTTTCAGGGCCCCTCTGTGCCTGTGCTCCCTTCGCTCTCTCTCTATGCCTTCATTTCCTCTCGTTTGCTCTGCTCTGCTCTCTGCTGACTCTCTCCACGCATTCATCATTCTGCAAGCTGGCCCTGGTGTTTGTCTTTAAGTTTGCCTGTGGTTTTACCAAACACACATGCACACAAATGCACACACTCGTGCAGGGGGCTAGCTAGTGTGCTGTCCAGTAAAACCCCCATGCTTGGCATCTCTCTTTCTCTATCAGTCAGTCAGTTCCTCATCCTCTCTCTCTCTCTAACAGATTACAGTATCGTTTTCCTCACGGCTTATACCTCTGCTTTTCTCTCTTCTCGTCTTCCTCGTGCTTCAGACCTGCCTCCCACCTGACCTGCTCCTGGAACAGATGTTTTATTTTTAGAGCAGTCTCTCTCTTTCTCCCTCTTTCTCAATCTCTCTGCCCATGCTAAGAAGAAAAAGGGAGTCTTGTGTCTATATATGGCTTGTGAGAGAGTGAGGTTTTCAAGAAAAAACAGACTGTCATTATCACACCCATCTTTTGTCTCTGAATACAAGGGAGTGAGAGGAATTTGACCACACTGATGTTTTCAGTTTTCTGTCTCATTTTCACAAAACAAACCCTAAATCTTCATTTGGGGCCCTTTTTCTGTTTTCAGTGTTGATGCCACAGTCCGTTGTGCCTCCACATCCTCCTGACTGTTCAAACGTGTATTTTACAGCTTACAATTTTTGAACCACTCAGATTGAGGAAACCATTTTTATATATAAAAAATGACCAAAAATGACTGAAATGCTTGTAAAGGTTAAACATTAATAATATCTGAAAATCAGAAACTTTGTTTATTTTATAAATGCTTTACAATTTACAGGGACATATTTAGCAAATAGTTTAATAATAACATTCCTTTATGGAATGCTTCTTCTCTTCTGACAGGTCAATAGCAGAATTATCTGATCAGATAACAGCATTAAAGGGATAATTCACCAAAAAATGAAAATTACCCCATGATTTACTCACCCTCAAGTCATCCTAGGTGTATATGACTTTCTTCTTTCAGACAAATACAATCAGAGTTATATTAAAAAATACAGAGAATAAAGAGAGGAGAGAGCAAAACAAAACACTGGTCACTAATTAGGATTTGTAAAGAAAAATGTCTGAAGATTTCGATATAGGCCAAGAGGTTTTCTTTTGCTGTAAACAAAACTTGGTTCTCGCGAGACTAGCATATTCTCACTGGAGCTTACGCTGCGCCTACATCCAACGTCATCCATTGGAACACCACTCTCTCGCGTGTACAACAGTTAGCGGAAGCAAGAGATTGCGGTTTAGAAAGTTTTAAAGATAGATATTTTTCTTACACAAACGATTCACTTCACTTCAGAAGGCCTTTATTAACCCACCTGAGCCGTGTGGAGTATTTTTATGATGGATGGATGCACTTTTTTGGGCTTCAAAATTTCAAAATGGGCTTTGTACCCAGGGCCGCGTTATCCTAATGGGCAACATGGACTGCAGCCCAGGGCCCTGAACACTAGGGGGCCCCCGAGACAATTCTCTTTTGCTTTTTATATAGGGTTGCCAACCGTTCCATATAATACACGGAATCATCCCGTATTTAAGGCATCAGTTTGTCCCGTATTTGCAGGCATACGCCGTATGACCACCTAGACCAGAGGTGCCCAAACTCGGTCCTGGAGGGCCGGTGTCCTGCAGAGTTTAGATCCAACTCCAATTAGACACGCCTGAACCAGCTAATCAAGGTCTTACTAGACATACTAGAAACTTCCCGGCAGGTGTGTTGAGGCAAGTTGGAGCTAAACTCTGCAGGACACCGGCCCTCCAGGACCGAGTTTGGGCACCCCTGACCTAGACCATACAAATAACAAATGAATTATTCTTTTTCCAAATCATTGTTTGAATTGCAAACGTAGCTGCTCAAGGAAGGCTTTAAGACCAAGCGGAATCCTCTGCCGCCTAGTCACTCCCGCTTCACAGCGAGTGGAACTCTTGTTTTGATTTCTGCAAATGGGGGAATGCAAAGACGTGATTATTGATCATAAGCACAACACCCAGCTAGAAAACTTACAATCCTCCTGAGGGAAGACGTCTTTCACTATTGTAAGTTAATGTTGTTAAACAGAGAAGCAAAATTATACATTTTCAAAATTTTAACTTATTAGAAGAAGAGCAGGAAGAAGCCCTTTTAGTGGCGAGTGATAGGTTAATTAATTTTATTTGCTGGGCTATTTCTGATTTGTAAGATTATTACTTGGTAATATTGTTTAATTTATGTACATCATTTTTAGCCTACTATAGGATTATGACGTGCGGATTGTGTTCTCTTTATTTTTATTTCACGAGTATAACATGTTTTTGCACATTTGATTTACTAATTCATTTAATATAACTGCCATGTAATGGGGGGTGAGGGTGGGGAGCCCAAAGCTGCATTAGCCCAGGGCCCCACAAAGGCTTAACACGGCACTGTGTGTATCTTCAATATTACACACTGATGGAAGTTGAAAATGTGAAAAAGCATAACAGGACCCCTCTAATGTTTAATTTCATGATTTGAATTAAAATCGTGAAACTTGGAGATTTTAATTCAAATTTAATTCAGATTGACATAAAATCATGCAAGAAATTCTTGTATTATAGTTGGTCTTTTTCCCCCTGCTTCACGTTTCCTCTCTCTCTACATGACTTGCACTCAAGTCAGAACTTGGTATAATTGACATTTCTTGTCTATGAGGTTGTTTTAGGCCTTAAAGTGTTGATTCTACTTGAGAAATGGGATAGAGTCAATCCCTGAGTCAGCGTGACAATAGACAGGCACCAAACTCATGATATTCATCCCATAAAGTTCTTCCACCATGAACTGCTTGTTCATGATTACACTGTCTCTTTCTCTTCTTTTGTTAGTATGCAGCCTTATTCTCCAGACTTTTTTCTTACTTAGTTTATTTGTCTTACTGGCTTGACTGAAATGTGGTTGAATAGCTCATAGC